TACCATACGAGGGCATTGGGTATACTAGTCTGTATACCATACAAGGGCATTGGGTATACTAGTCTGAATATCATACAAAGGCATTTGGGGTAATAGTTGTTATTATATGGCAAGGTAATTTCACGCGCTATGATTGGTCAATTTGCGGTCCATAACTTACGGTACGGCCCGAAAAATCAAATGGTTCACTGMGTGTACATGCTTATGATCTTTTAAAACATTCAAATCTTCGTTATGAAAAAATATTTCTGGACGAAACTCGTCGGGAAACCTTGATAAATTATTAAAGATAACCAAGAGAATATTAATATTCTCTTGAGATAACTGAAAGTCACTGGCATTTAATGTAAAACGTATCATAACAAGTGAAAACTCTTTCGATCAAGGCTCTACACGGCACTTGTTGAGCGATTTTGAACGACTTGAAAAACTAGAAAAACTAAAAATAAAACTAGGGTAAACTACGAATTAAGGCAGTCAAATAAAAGCTGCACTGCTTACGCTTTGCTGAGTTCTTATTTTTATTTGACTGCCTTAAAACCCTTCAATGCATGTGAAATTAAAGGAGAATATTTGTAAAAGATACATCTTTTAGTGACTTCATTTAGAAAAAAATCGTTCGACGATTTTTTGAATGCCGATTTCATCGATATTTTCTATCGCTTTTGACAACAAATGGGTCATTTAGCTTCATATCAAAAAATCCATAACGTTAGAAAGAAAGTCACAATTTGATTCATACTCAATAAGGACAGTGTCTATATTCGTACCTATGTTCTAGCTACTAAAAATGGTATATATATGGGGTATAAAACTGACACGCTGGAAATAATAGTAAAAGTCCATGAAAATATTCATCGCGTAATATTTGGAAAACGCTCTCATACATTTTTTTCATATTGCAATATGTTGGGTGCCTTGATGAATACTATCGACTGGTGCAAGTCGCTTTGAAAGTTTAGGTCTAGTTTTCGAGAAAATAAGCGGTAAACGATTTCTATGATGTCACCATTACGTCATAACGAAAAGGCCGCTTTAAACTAATTTATCATTTTTGAAACCTTTAATCCTTTCCCGACATTGTGCGAAAAGCGCTTGCAGATCGAGTTATTCAAGAAGAAGTTGTAGCCGTTTCAATGCGGCTAGGTGTGCTGGACCAAAACTACCCACAGCCTCCTTAATTAATTTCTCCAAGCTGTCTGTAAATTATATCATGCGGGAAGTGCATCATTACTAAAGTAAATAACCAGGGAGGTTTATAGTTTGAAAATAGAAGCTTGCCATTAACAGTATAAGAGCTAGTAATCCATTTTTTTAAACAGACTGGGAAGGGATATTTTAAAGATAATAATTTTCAAAGCCGTAGGTTTCGTTTCGATTGAATCCTTTGCGTCTATAATATCTTTTATCTTTGTTGTTATTGTTGATGTACTTGAAGGTTGAAATTTTTATCGTTGTCATCGTCTAAAGACGCGGTTACATAGAGTAATTTTGTCTGCAACTTGTGTTGCTACGGCGTTGCGACACAAGTTGTATGGAGCATTGCAGCAAGTAACCTACAGCGCATTTTTGAAAAATGTTGCGAGACAAGTTGCAACACTTCAGCTGCGAAAAGTGGATATCGTTTCTACTTTTGGCAACGATTGCGTCTCCGTTGCACCGTGTAGACACTCTTGCAACTTGTGTCGCAACACTGTTGCGAGACAAGTTGCAGAGAAAAGTGCTCCGTGTAATCGAGCCTTTAGCCGTGCCCTGACTTAGATCAACCCAGAGATTTTTTCAGGATCCGATTGTAAGTTGGCCGCCCGTGCCCTGAATCCAGAGGTTTTTTCAGGGTTTGCGTGTCAGCCATCACTTTGATTCAGTTAAAATCAATTCCTGATTCAAACACATATATCTTGTCAAAAACAAATAGTTTTCAAAAATCAATTATTGTTATTTCCGCAATATAAAGGTCGCAAGCGGCATACCGTCGCTGATACAACACTGTAATATCAAGTAGTTTGCAAAATCAATTATTTACCAAACAAAGACATCCGACTCCTTATATTTTATATTTGTTAAAAATAACAGAAACTAAGGCTACACTTTTCATTTTTCAGAACTTGATTAACTTTTATTGACAAACTATAATTGCGTGCGCTGCTAATGCGCCGCCTCTCACCAATGCGGCCCGAGTTCGAGTCCTGCCGATCTCGATGTCGTATGTGAGTAGAGTTGTTTGTTGGTTCTCTCCTGTGCTTCGAGGGTTTTTCTCCGGGTTCTCCGGTTTTCCTCCCTCCTCAAAAATCAACTTCTAAATTCTAATTCGATCTTTGGGCTTTCACTTAGTTTGGAGTCTAGCTCTGTTGTGATTATCCCACGCTGTGATACGACAGCGAAAAACTTTGTAGATTTTGTTGATGCCAGGTGCTCCCGAACCACCTAGGGTTTCAAGACGAGCACAGGCGAGGAAGAGAGGAATATTCGTATGTTTTGAAGTCGTTACACTTTGGGAATTGTACAAAGTAAATGATCTAGCACCGTTCAGTAATTCACAGATCTATCCGAAGTATTCAGAGCAACATTTTGATGTTTATAAAACTTGAAGGGAACCGCATTTATAGCGGAAAAACAGCTTTTGAAATCACTAACATCGTTATTGAAAGTGGGTCCCAAATTGTCCAGCTCACTTCAAAGGCCCCCTTGAAATAATCCGATTGTCCAGAAACGAGACCATCGAAACTGCTAGAAAGTAAAAACATATGATTTTTCGCCAAAAACACCTGAATTCCTGAAGATTACTCTGTGATAAATCTTTGACTACATAAATAATAGTTATTGCTGTTGTTCTTGATCTTAAATTTTTCCCAAGCCGACGTTTTCTGTACCTTTGAGTGTTTTACTTTTGAAACCCGGGGGAATCCCTCGATGTAGATGCGCAGTAAGTATGCGCACTGACAATAGTAGGCACCATCCTTAAGGTTGTCTAGGCAAGCGTACCCCTTATTCACTACGCTGTTTGGCTACTTGCTAGTTGGTCCTCCCCTTTACAAATTAGCACTCACGTGACAAGTAACAAAACGTGATCTAGTCACGTGATTTTACTCGCGTAACTAAGGGTATTGATAGGAACCAGTTGTTGATAGTCGATATAGTAGCTGTTTTTGAAAACTGAATGAGCTTTTCGACGATCCAAACTCGTGCAAACCCTTTTGGCATCATCGTGTACAGTTAACTGAGCAAAAAATCTTTGACAACTAAGAAATCGTTTTAGTGGGATAAAGTCCGATTAAGGGAAGATTCGTCAGAACAAAGGTGAGAAGGGGTTCCATTTGTGAAAGGAAAAATGGTTTTATGAGCAGCGGATTTTATTTCAAGTCTGGTAGCTTCTTATGTTGTCGTTTTCTCTTTCTTTTCCACATTTGTCTCCCTCCGATCATTGAAAAAAAGGCTTTTATGAGCAGCTGATTTTATTACGAGTCTGGTAGCTTCTTCTCTTTGTCGTTGTTGTTGAGTTTTTTTTTTCCAAATTTGTTTTCCTCCCATTTTTGAAAGATGCTTTTATGAGCAGCAGATTTTATTTCAAACCTGGTAGCTTCTTCTTCCGTCGTTCTTTTTTTTCTACATTCGTTTCCTTCTGATCAATGAAAAAAGAAAGATCTTTTACCCAAGAATTCATCCTTGTTGAGAGCCACATACTTTATAAATTTAAAAATTATATTTCATATACTTAAAAATTGCAATGATCTATTCAAGCATGTAAAGTCGGGGGGAAAAAGAAAATCAAAAAGAATATTCGGATGGTAAAATGAAGGTATTTATTGATCGAACAGTCGTTATGTTCCCAGCTTTGCAAACACCGATGCTGTATTGGTTAGTTTTAGACCTATATTTAGATGTAGGAGACTAGCGGTGGTTTCCTTTTCTTGAGTTGAACTCATCAAGGAATACGAAATTAAGACATGATTTGGAAGATGTTGATGAGTCAAGGTGTGCTGCTTTACTTGCTTTCAATTAGGAGGAAGGAGGAAAAAAGAAACAAACTGAGTAAAAGAAAGCAATAAACAAACGGACGGACGAACGAGCGAATGAATGAATGATTGATTGAATGAATGAATAATTGATTGAATGAGAGAATAGAAAGAAAGAAAGAAAAGAAAAGAAAAGATAAAAGAAAAAAAGGAAGAAAGTGAGTGAGTGAGTGAGAGGAAAAATCAGTATTTTGGGCGAAAACCACCCCGCCTTTGTATTGAAAAAAATCCACATGGGACACTCAATACTGAAAGTTGTCTTGATGTTGCCCATGATTGCATTTACCCCTGGGTGACTTAGGTTCTGGTCAAACGTTCAACTTCACATAAGTCGAACCTAAATTGAAACAACGGATAACAAGGCGATGTTATTAAGTTCGGCTCATGCGAAGTTCGACGTTTGACCCGAACCTAACGTTTACTTAGCTACTTGCTGTAGAGTGGTCCTCAATATTGTATTATGAAACTCCATCTGTTACATATCTCATCGATAACTTTACTTGCCCTTGCTTATAATGTCCATCTTTCTTCTTTTTACAATGATGTATACAGTCAATGTCATTAACGTTGTCCACCAAAAAAGACATTTACACATTTAGACTAAAAGAAATATCACGTGTTTCCTCGAAGGTTCTGGCATAAAACAAATGCTGAAATACCATTCTCCATCTTAAATCCTCACTAAATGGTCAGGGCATCCTGGATTTTCGATTCACGAGTTGAATTTTACATTCAAAGTTCAGGCTGACGCACACGAGGCAAAGAATACATAATGAAACGTGATATATCTTTTAGTCTAAATGTGTAAATGCGTACATGTCTTTTTTTTCGGTGGACAACGTTAATGACATTGACTGTATATGTTTATTGATGTTTCTCTATTTCATTTACTTTGTTGGTAAGACTGATAATACGGACAGGTATTAGGGCAGAATCGACAACAATGGTCAATGTGTGGAACCTTCGTAATGTTAGGCCCCGTCCACACTATGCCGGATAATTTTGAATCCCAATTTTTATTCATTCAGTTAGGCCTACCGTCCACGCTAGTCCGGGCGAATTCGGAACAATTCTTCACCGAAAACGAATTTTCAAAATGGAACCGAATAAATAAAAATTCTGGATTCAAATTTATCCGGCATAGTGTGGACGGGGCCTTAGATAGAATACTGATAGAACTAAAAGATGTAACTCTTATTGTAGGTGATTGTAGGTTGTTTCTTTGGAGATATGATTGTTATAATGGTATTGATCATTTGTTTAATCTCCATGTACATTCGGTACTGTGTCGTCCAAATGGGCATATCTTTATTTCTAACTTTTATAACTTTTCCTGAATTTGCTTGAGAGACCACAGAACAATAGTTCCAAGTCTAGGTTAGCTTTCTTTGCAGGGCGTCCTTGAGGAATTTTTAGGACTCTCCCAAAGGACGTCTGCAAGAAAGACTAAGTCGAGGTTGGACATGATGTATTCATACATTTACTGTATTTTGTATTGAAGTCCAACGTATTTTCGTATTCTGGTTATTAAAATTACAACCAAAACGCCATCCCATTATCTCTAACAGTTTCGATAAAAAATGTTACACGGCTGTCAATTTGCCTGCAAATGGCTGTGTTAAAAAATTTCTCCGAACTTCTATAGATGTGCATGGTGGCTTGTGGTACTAAAATAACGAAAACTGACGCCATCCCATTATTTCTAACCGGTTTCGATATAAATTTGAATATTGTTCGCAAAGCTGCAAATGGCTGTGTATTTGACGTATTTAGATAGCCTTGAACAAACAAACGCATCCAGATGAACACACACAGACATTCGAGATCTACCGTTATTGGTAAACCTCCCATGTGGAAAAAATAAAACTAAAAGTCAGCCTGTAAGACCCGAATCGCGGCAAACGAAAAGACAATGACAGACAGCTAGTAAAACAACTGTTTGTTCTTTGATTAATCAGTTGTGTTTTATGGCTCTGGTTGAATTTTATTTGGAACAATAAAACGGAACGGTATAATTGCGTGAGGGTAGCGAAGAAAGTTAAGGACTATATATATATGTGATATATTTTTTAAATTGTCATCGTTAACTCACAACTGCAAGTGCAGCAGTGTCGAAGCTCAACGGGGTCTAACTGAAGGCATGTGAAAATAAAAAGTGCGTGAAAAACAGCTGTGAAAAATCCAATATTGAACGGGTTTAGGACTGTATTATAACCATTCCCTAATTCTCTTGAGTGACCACGAAACAGTGGTTGCAAGTTGAGGTTTGACTTGATAGAATACGTTAAATTTATGAATACTACATCGTTTCGTGGTCACTCAAAGGAATAAGGGGAAAAAATTATTGAAAAATATTGATATATCAAAATTTTTAACGTTTTGAAAGATTTTAAGAAATTTCTTAGTCGTTTTATTGCATTTTGTTTTTGTCGTTTTTATTTACTTATTATCATCATCATTATTTTTGATGTTGCTATTATTTACATATTATCATCAATCATCACCGTCATTATTATTGTTGTTGTTGTTGTTATTTACATATCATCATCATTATTATAATTGTTGCTGTGGTTGTTGTTGTTATTGTTGTCATTGTTATAATTTTATTATTTTGTGTAGAGCCCACGAGTTCGTCAATAGAAACGTTTGTTTGAAAAGCCGTTCAAAGGTGCCTCGTGTAATTATCACAATATTCTATCCATTTGCTTCGATTCTCACGGATCTACTTCTAGACTTTTTCTTTTTGTCTTCGGAAAAATATTCTTGAGTTTTGTAATATATTTTATAATATCTAGACATATTTCCACTTTTTTTATGGATTCATATTCTCACCGGAACTAAATAATTGATTTCTGAAAAAAAGTATTCAAAATCATCTTCGTTTAAATATATTGAAATTCTAGCCAAATGAAAGTCGAATTGCTTTCAAAAGAACAGAAGGAAGAATCGAGACAGTTTTGAATATAAACGCATGCGACAAAGATCCGGTAGTTCATATTTTACTTGATTCATATCTTGCTGTTTTTTCTTTTCTGTTTTATTTCTTTCTTTCTTCTTTTATATATTAAAAAAGTTAACGGCAAAGCGATTGGTTGGCATCTAGACGCGTCACCTCTTCAGCTGTTCGCCTCCTAATATTAACAGAGAAAAACAATCAACCGAAATTAAAAACAAAAACAAAAAAACGCTCACTTAATATATTGTAGAACGCACGAATTGCTGTCTACGGCTTCAGGCGGATGCTACACATATTCTCTAGCGGGTAATTCAAAAAACACCTTAATTAGTGATATATTATTCTAATTTGATCTGTCAAAATTGTGCCCCATCCTAATTTCGTCATTTTTTAATTATAGAAAATTTTCTTATCAATAAAAATCTTTCAAGTGGATATCAGTGTGCCCTCGCCCCAACAGAAAACGCTCAACTGAAGTGGCACTTCATGATCATTTCCTATAGTAAAACTGAAGTCATTTGGCTGGTTGGTCAGGGTGTGCAAGTGGCCATTCAAAAAGTTCAAAGCTCCTAGTTCAAATGGCGTCTAACGATTCGTTCAAGCCTTACAGCACAGAAAACGTGGATCGTATTTTGGCACCAATCTATGTTGGTGTGATTATATTCGGTGTATCTGGAAATGCATTCGTTATGGCTGTCATCAAGAACACTCGTTCAATGCACACGACCACGAATTTTCTTCTGTTGAATCTCGCCGTTGCAGATTTCCTGACATTGCTCTGGTGCTTACCTTACAAGGTTTTGATATTTGTTTTCGACCATCCCCATGGAGTGGCAGGCGACTACCTGTGCAAGTTTTTCACATCGTATAACGTAACGGTCATCACGTTAACGGTTTCGATCTTCACGCTCACGGTCTTATCTGTTGAGCGCTACAGAGCCTTGCTCAAACCGATGCATCACCATTTGCGTTTGGAATTAGATACAGTATGTTACGCTATTGCGGCTATTTGGATTTGCGCCACCGGCTTCATGATACCACTATTCGTAGTCACCCAATACGTCCCCGAGGCGCAGACTTGTAGGGTCAACTGGCTGAGCAAAAAACAAGAGGATCTGTATAGCATGTGCATAATGGTGTTCAGTATCTTTGCCCCGATTACCGTTACTGTTATCTGCTATTTAAAGATCATCAAAGGACTGTACTTCAGTAACACTATCTGTTCTGCCCCTGCTGGACCGCAACAAGGAACCGACTTACAAGAGAAGCGCAAAATCGTCAAGATCTTACTCCTAGTGACCTCCGCTTTTATTCTATGTTTCTTGCCATATGCATCATTTCGAATTGTCGTGGCATTGGCTGACGAGACGAATTATGAACAATACAATCGATTACAGGAACTTCGTGAAATCTTCAAATTTTTATCTTACACATCTTCCAGCTTCAATCCTGTAATCTATACAATACAAAGCTCAAACTATCGCGCCGCCTTGAAAAGACTTTTTATCAAGTCTTGTTATTGTGGATCAAATAATAATAATATGAGCAACTCAATAGAATCGATAACCGGGGAACTCCATACCGTCCCACGACAGTTCTCGACAAACCTGCCCGATAATTTAAACGCCAATAAAACAGGTTGAGCTTGGAAATCAAAAACGTAAAGCATACTTTGTCGTATATCAGACAATTTATTAAAGTTAATCGTGGATATTGTTTATTAGGATTGGGCGATTTAATTCGTGTGCTTGTGATTTTCTCGTAGTACTATCATTTGCTAAGGAAAAGAGATTTTGAACAGGTGAATACTATATCGATTGTAATTAGACTCGAATATGTATAAAAATGAAAAAAGGTTTGTGACTCATATGTTATATTTCTTTACGGAATTAAAGATCTAGGAGATAAGAAAAGAGGAAGTATATAGGAAGCCGAATTAAATAAGTTGTTTATTAAGCTCTTTTTAAACTCAATAATTTTGAAAAACGATCATCTCGATATATTTTGCATTCCTAACTTTACACGTCGTAGCCTTGGCAACGAAACCTTGACAATCCCCTGACAATAATCAGAAAGCGCTATACAGTTAGGGACATGATTTTTGAATAAGATCTTTTTATGTTCATAAATTAAGCTTAATCTTTTTGGAGCTCACGCGTGAAAGCAGTTTGTTAGATGTATCGCTCTTGATTTTAGGGTTTCCTACGAGTTCTTTGTTTTTTCCTTCCTCCGCAAAACCTAACTTGAAAAAGTAAATCCCGATTCGATCTGTGAGTTAGCCGTGCCCTGACTTAGATCAGCCAAGAGGTTGTTTTAGGGTTTGATCTGTGAGTTAGGTCGTACCCTGACTTTGATCAGCCCGGCCAGAGGTTGTTTCAGGCTTTAATCCCTAAGTTAGCCGTGTCCTAACTTAGATCAGCCCAGAGGTTGTTTCAGGGCTCGATAAAATATAGCCTTGCAAAATAGATGGCAAAAAGCCGTCTTATTTATTGGTGTCGGAAGCTTAAGGATACAGAAAATCAATAAACTTTATTAATGAAATTTAGTTTTCACAAACAATCAATCTTCAGTGTCAATAGTCACAAATTCGTCAGGCAGGATATACACACGAGAAGGAACGAAATTTTTTCAGACAAATTTTTTTATTATTAGTTTTATATTTAACTTCGCCCTACTTGTACGATATAGTTGAAAATAAATCAAGCTGAGCACTCACAAGAACGTTTTCATTCGTTACGGTAAACGCATACTTTTATAAACGAGTCCAGTCCGTCCACACGTAAACGTACGGTCATCGTTTACAAATCGTTTTCAGCAGTCCACACTACTAAACCACTTTGTAGATCGTTTTCAAAAGTATGCGTTTAAGGTGAGCATTTTCATCGTTTGTGTAGAATGAAGGGCTAAGCGCATCACAAAGTATGCGTTTGCGAATGAAAACGTATACGTGTGGACGGGGTATTTTGAAGGTAATTTGTTGTTGAAGATTTAATGTTGACATCACTTGATGAGTCAGTAAAGAACGTTGCCTTTTATGCAAATAAATTAAATTCATTTTGCTCCGGACGATGCGATACGGAAAATTATGATTGTGGAGTTGTCTGTAAAGTTGCAGAAAATGTTCAATAAGGACACTCGAATGTATGTGTTTTTCTTTTTTTCTTGTTAATCATCCCTTGAGGCTTGAAAATGAGATTTATTTTCATCACAGTTTGAAACAGTAAAAAAATTGAGGCACTTGAAGTGTTCTCAGTCCTAGTGTTACTTGATGAGAAACTGGTCACAGCAACGAAGTGAATTCGAATTAAGAGGTTTTACAATGCTATGTTTTATTTGTTTTATTGCTTGTTTTGTTATGTTTTGTGTGGAGAAGGGAACTCCTGGTTTGATCCTTAGATTAGGAATACTACTGCAAGAGGACTGTTGCATTTATATACCTATTTCAAAAAACGTTGTCATCGCCAAAAGCAATAGGCAATAGACGAAAAGCGATAGAAAATAGGTCATTCCAAAATCCAAAGAATAGCTGAAATGACTTGTGTTTCTGCTTCTTATTCTCGTCAAGAACATGGACCTTAGTGTTGAGACTGATTCAATGTTCTTTGTATTCAACGAATCCATAACTATGTCGGAATGACATATCGCCTATCGCTTTTGGTGATGACAAAGTTTATTGAAATAGGTGAATACATATTATATACAACTATTTCGAAAATCGTTGTCACACCAAGAGCCTCAAGTAACAAGCCAAGGCTCCAGAGAACGTTGGTACTTTTAATTATAATTTCGATTTATTCTTGGTTCATGCAAGTGGCTATAGCTTTCCACTAATTATCATCTCAAGCAGCCTTGCTTGGAGCAATTTGTGAAGTCAATAAATGAAAATGCACCATGAATAAACTAATTAAAGCTAAAAGTACCAGCGTTCTCTGCGGTCTTGGCTTGTTGCTTGAGGCTTTTGGTGCGACAACGATTTTTGAAATAGGTGTTTATAAAATAGTGTTATTATTCGCCCTAGGTAGTTTTATCCTCTAAGGACTTCACTTTCCAATTTTGTCGGATGACCTACTGGAGTTACAGTTTAACTAGCGCATCATTTAGAATTCAATTTTTTTTCTGAGACAGGTGTCACTGTGCATATACACCTGTAAGATATAGCTTTAGTCATAGGCATACACCGCCGTAATAAATACTAAAAGTATAGAATATTTGAACAAAGCGGCCATTCGTAAGACAGCAGTATGTCAGTTGTCTGTACTTAAACCAAAAGACCGGCTTGATTTGTGGAACATGATGATTGCTAATTACTTCCTGCTAACTATTGAAACGTTAAACTGATGGTCATCGGAAGGGAAAGTTCTCACTATGAATGTGTGATTACAAAACAAGGACGCCGGCATATCCAGCTGTTCTGAATAGCTAGAAGTCATGATAGAAAAGAGATTTTACGGTTTACACGCCTTTAAATTGTTTGAAAACGTCTTTTGACTGTAAGGCAGTGTTTCAGAATGTTGAATTATCAGCTAGAAAAGGGTTAATAATAATAATAATNATAATAATAATAATAATGATAATAATAATAATGATAATAATAATAATGATAATAATGATAATAATAATAATAATTTTATTTATATAGCGCATTTTCCATAGCTAGGCTGCTTAAAGAGAAGTTTGTGCTGTGATCTTAAACTACGTTTAGGTACATAATGGCTTAAAAGGACATTATTGTGTCCATCTGACGACTAGTAGGCTTGTCATCTCATAACTGGAATGGATCGTCTTCAGTAATCATTATTAAACAGCTGAAGAAGGCGATGGTGATATCGATAATTATGGTGACGATAATGAAAAAGCCCTCCTTCGTTAGCCAATTAGCATCAAGTAATTTTGCTCTGTAGTATATGATAACTATAAAGATCTTCACCAGCACCAGTTCCATCCGTACCAATACCACCACTATCAGTGTCAAATCTTAATCGTAATTATCTCAGTAGCTCCGTATTTATTTTACTGTACATTCATAACCCTTTGTTTGCTTTATTATAATCAACCTCTCAGAGTAATTCATTTTATAAGCAATATTTTTTAATGAAAACATCAAAAAAAAAAAAAAAAAAACGTTTTTACTAGATTAGCACTGTTCGTGACTAGTTTGTTGCTATCAAGCCGAGAAACGCTAGGAATTGAAATCTCAAGCCGAGAAACATCCCTACTAGATTAACACCTGTTGTTGTTGTTGCTGTAGTTGTTGCTCTCAAGCCAAGAAACCTAATGGCGGCCATACATGAAGCAAAAAACATTAGGTGGTTTGTAGGAATTCAAATCACACTAACGAAAAAACTCACATTTTTAGAAATATATATAGCGATTGCATGTCTGAAACCTTGTTAAAGACAATGAGATATATGCGTAACAGAAAAATCCCAATTAACACTTGTGCGAATCTTGAGCCGTGGGCATGCGAAAGTACCAGGTGATCTCCATAGGTTCTATCAGGTAGAACGAATTAGCCAATCAGTAAACGTTTTGTTCGTAGTTCAAGTTCCAAGTTTCGGCTCGAAAAAATGTCTTTAACTTAAAAATAGAGAAAATAAAACACATCCGTGGTAAGATTTACCAAATAACTTTTAGAAATAGCATATTTTGTCGTCGTTGAAGAAAATATTTCGTTTTATCAGGAGATAATAAAAAAAAATTGGAATCTTTCGCTGTGAAAAACAATACATTGCGCGACGTGTTTTCAAATCACATGGTAGAGAATGCTGGAAAAAAATATTCAACAACATCATATCAGAACCTGCAGAGGACCAACAAAGTATAGCCGAAACATCGATTGAAACTAACGATTGCAGAGTATCGCCCACTCCCCCCCCCCCCCCCCAAAAAAAAAAAAAAAAAAAAAAAAAGCAGTAGTTTTCGGTACGTTGTTTGGCTGTGAACTTTTGGGCGCAAATACAACCTCAAGTTTCACAAATATTGAACAATTATTCACCGAAGAAGAAGTGCTTATCGGTGCAATGTAAATATCACCATAATCACTGAGCCTGAGGGGAATAATTGTTTTAGTATAATTTAAGACTTGAATATCAGAGAAAAATCGAAAATTCAGGAAACGTTTCAGTATTCCTTCCTGAAAACTTCATAATCACCGCTCCAACGGTGATTATCGACTCAGAATTACGTCCGGTCCTCGATCAATCACAACTCGAGAAACTCTAAAATTATACTAAATTGGCCGTGGTTTATTTTTTCATTTTTTTAAGGAAATAACCAACAATATCAATTTAACAATATCAATTCAGTCCTCCCTTCAACAAGTATTTAATCAATATCACCGTCTTTAATGAAGTATGACTTTCTTTTAAAAACATTATTGCAGAAACGGCATGGGAGCTTCTGAACCTGTCTTTTTTAGCTTCAGAAATTAGTTTTGCGTTAAAGATTGTAACTAGTATCCGAAGCAGAAAGAAAAAAAAACACTTATTAACCTTTTAATTATTTTTTTGAGTAATTATTTTTAGAATTTAAAGGTAGGATTTGCACTAATTAGCTTCGCCACTCTGAAAGCAGGGAAGTAATTAGCGCACTGAACAAACAATAAGGCAAACAAATTGGCATCCCTGTTGATTATCGTTTGGCTTAACTATATTTCTTGGGCATAATTAAGCAATATTTGTGTAGGAAATGTCTTTGAATTCTGTCCTGTGATTACCGCAAACCAAACAGAAAATGTGCAAACAAATTGGTGTTTCTGTTGATAATTGTGGTTGAATATTGTAATTTATTGAACAAAATATACCAAATCCACCTTATGGCGTAATTTTTCTCATTTCAGACCTCGTGTTATTCACTCGACAATTTGTTCGAGTTGTATCCATATGTGTCTTCCCATTCTCAACCGTTGAACAAAGAAATGATGCTCTAGGGAATGACACGTGGTCTGAAATGGTAAAACATTACCACAAGTGAATTTGGTCTATTGAGCAATGTTTGTGTAAGAAAGGTTCTTGAATCTACTTAGTTGGTTTAATTATATCAGATGTTTGTAGAATGATCTGGTGTGGGTGTTCAGAATGACAGGTAATGATAAATAAGAGAAGAGGATGTTAGGAATAAAAAACCAATAAATTAAGGCACGTTATAGAATTTGAAGTTGTTAACTTATTCGAGAATTTCTTCCTTCCCAGGATTTAGTCTTTGCTTTTTTTTACCATAAACACCTTTCTTTTGTTTGCTTTA